GTCCTTTAGGGTCCGGGAGTTGTTGCAAGTCAGATGGTTGCTTAAGACTCACATCAGGTGTCCACCAATATGTTGGGCTCAGGTGCTATCAAAGTTTGATTCATATAAACTCCATTACCCAGAAGGCATCAGCTGAAAAGAGGAAGTCACTGCTTCTTATCAGGTTAAGCTTWGAGGAACAACTGGTTAAAGTGGACATATGCTTTTAAATCCATCTTCACATTTAAATCCTTCATTTGGGTCTATATAAAGAACTGTAATGCTTTGGTCTGAATGGCTCCTTATTGTAACTCCACAAGCCCWGGTCGTTTTCTGAGGTGTGTCTCAGATCAAATCSTTTTGAGTCTGTCTGTTTAAATCCAAAMAAGGCCCTTCAAACCTGCCCCCCTCCAGCYTCCAGACCGGTCYGTTCTAGCCTTGTAGAGGGKTTTATGACTATATAGCTGMGCAGAAACTTTTTCTTTACARACAAACTGAAATACRTCAACAAGGGAAGAGCAACACCTCTGATTGATGTACATTTTATTGCTTTATGCCAAACTCACTCACTCACTCACTCACTCACTCACTCACTCACTCACTCACTCACTCACTCACTCACTTGCTCACTGACTCACTCACTCTCAAACTGACTGACTCACTCACTCACTCACTGACTCGCTCACTCACTCACTGACTCACTCACTCACTCACTGGCTCACTCGCTCGCTCACTCACTCACTCACTCACTGACTCACTCACACACTCACACACTCACACACTCACTCACTCGCTCACTCACTCACTCACTCACTCACTCACTGACTCACTCACTTACTGACTCACTCGCTCACTCACTCACTCACTGACTCACTCACACACTCACACACTCACACACTCACTCACTCGCTCACTCACTCACTCACTCACTCACTCACTGACTCACTCACTTACTGACTCACTCGCTCACTCACTCACTCACTGACTCGCTCACTCACTGACTCACTCACTGACTCGCTCACTCACTGACTCGCTCACTCACTGACTCACTCACTGACTCGCTCACTCACTGACTCG